CTAATTTGGTCGCACCTTCCACCTGGTTACAGGCAAAACACATCACTTGCTGAACATCTGCTTATCGATAGACGCTACAACTTACAGGTGTTCCCTAAACGCCTCACATTGCAGACTTAACTGCTCAGACAGGCGTGTGACTGAAAAATATTTTGAAAAGAGTGAAACTGGAGCATTCTAGTGTTCAATGCGGAGCACACCTACATGCACTGTTCCACTCAGAGAAAACCGCGAATGCGAGTGCGCTCCACATTTCATGAGAAGAACACATTTTTAAGCGCAAATACCACAGTCCGTCGAAGTTATAAAAGTGCTGCCTGCTTGCCACCACTGTGGTTAACACAGTTGCTGCCTGCGCCGGTTACAGCGACACCAAAACAGCTTAATCATCATCATGCACCCACACAAACAAACGTGACCAGTTGAAATGTCAACTCGCACACTCTATGTTCCCAGTGTAAAACCTGACAGACTCAGTTACATAACACTTAAAAAGGAGGGTGTCCTTCAGATAAGACGCAGGTAGAGGAAGACAGATTGTTTGAGCCAGTCACTGACACACCTTGAAGTGTTGCTGTGAACCTCTATATGAGCTCTTTAATCCTGTTGTTTTCAAAACATGCACGCAGATAGTGTGTGCATCATTGTTCCTTTTCCATCATACACCTTGCTCAACAGCTCTTCTGTGAGGCCCCACCTGTGTAGATTTACTGATGTTGGGAGGGACTGTAGGACTAGACCTGCTTGCAGTAGAAAACGCATTCTGAAAGGTTTCGGCCTTCGCATTTGCTCCAGGTGATGTTCTACTTGGAGAGGTTCCACCTTATCTAGGCTCACTGGCATTGACTCTGCTGCATTTTTCCTCCTCTGGTTGGCTTGTGACGTTGAGCTCCTCTGCAGTGGAAGAGAAAGGGAGCTGGAGCTGGATCTGGCAAATCTAATGTAATTCCTAGTCACATGCTGAGATGTTTATCAGAATCAGAGTCAGCTTTATTGGCCAAGTGTGGGAACACATACAGGAAATGTAACTCTGGTGTTTTCTCTGCCCTCAAAGCAGTTTCACAAAATAAAGCACATGTACAAATAAAGAGGAGCAACTTGTTACAGAAGGAAAATTAGTGTAAAATATCTACAACTATGGAAGATTACAGTGAACCAAAATTTAGTGTAAACAAATAATTAACAATAAATACAGGTGTTGACACTTATATATGCATAAGGTAGGTGAATGATGCAACAGAGTGCAGTGTTTCTGGGCAATTGTCAAAAACCACATCAAGATCTGTGTTGTTGTTGTATCAACTAGGTCAGACCTTCACCACGAATCCAGTGTGCATCGAATGATTTCAGATTAATGTAAAGACTGTCGTAGTTGGAGGCTCGTATGAATTTATGTAGAAGTTTAAACTCTTGTGCACAAATTCAGTTAAAAAAAACTGCTTACAAATTAAGTTCAAATATTTTTAATCCAGCATGTTAACAATAACATCTATGTGCTTGAACATATTTCCATTCAGCCATACTGATATACCTGCGATAAGTGATAAGCCCAACAGCCGGCCCCACTGTTGAGTCATTTCACTGTAGATTTTTTGTGCTTGCTCAGAGCTGAAGGGCTGCATCAAGACTGGAGCCTCGAAAAGTTTTAGAATTTTACAGGTGTTTTGCAGAAATCTGAAGAAGTTGCCTCCTGCTAGCTTGTGCGTTATCTGTAGTGAGGTGCTTTTAGTGTACAAGCTGCCTAAATACTGAAGTCCCAAGGTCGGGTTCTGCCATTCGGTGCTTATAGGGTGTTATATATATTAAAACAAGTAGCGGTTAAATGATGAAACTAATGTTGAGAAGGTCATTGTAGCTACAAAAGACTTTATAAAACCCAGTAATCTTCTTCTTCTCTGTTGTGCATCAGAGGCCAAATATTACTCCAGCGCTCCGATCTTTATTGAAATGTGCTGCCAGGTAAATCTTCTGCAGAATTTAGTAAAGTTGTCTACCTTTAGGGTGCAGCTTAAAAAGAAACAGACTTTCTGTTTTTAAAGAAAGACCTCTCGCCAGAATGTAATGCAAAATAGGCGACAGATGAATGCAAATAATTTTAAATGTCTAATCTCTATGCAGACAGCTCCTCTCGTCTTTCTGCTCGCTCCCGTGGCCTTCGCTGTTCATTCAAAGTAGCGTCTTCATGACTCACTGTTCTGCATTTTAAGAAAATTGGTTTGAATTAATAGTAGTTGTTGAAACGCCACTCGTAGAACAGATGTTCGCACCTCTTCTGATAGTCTGGCTGAGTCTATTTCTTAGCCCAAAGGTCAGATAGTGACACTGAAAAGCAGACACTATGGTTTTTAGAGTTTGTCCGGCTAAAGCTTACCTTTCAGTGTTTGTAGCTGCCTTTGAATAGTTGACAGGCTGTATATGCACAACTAAACAATATGTCATTATTTGTGTTTGATGAGCTTTGATAATGAGAATCTTTGCATTGTTTGCATTTGACTCAGTGATGAATGCAAGCCATAAGAGGCATGTATACTTTGCTGCTAGTGAAGCCACGCAGTGCTTATTTTAACATCATAATTTCTACAATTTTATTTTGCAGTCCCTTTTATCCAAAGCGACGTACATCTTAGAGCAGTTACAACACAAGCAAGGATCTAGTCAGGAGAAAACAGTCTGGATAAGTCCCATAGAACAAGTTCAAGTGTGGTAGGGCGTTGATGCTAATAGCAGGCTGTGTGGGAGGCAATAGGATTTTTTTTTTCATGATGTTTTCATCACCGATTAGCCAGTGCAATGCCAGGAATTCTGTGGTTTTCACTGTGCATCTGTTGCACTATCAGCATATTTGCTGGGTAAATACACGTAGGCCATTGTGCAAACAACAACCACCTGACCTAAATCATTTCATGTTGTCTTGTGGTTAGAATGTTTTTTGTGTTGCGTTACTGATGGGTGCGAGTTGTGCTCTGATTCTATCAGCCTTGTACAGTCCAATCTCATACAAGCTCTCTTGTTTACTGTTTATTGTTTCCTGTAGTGTAAAGACTTACCCACACCTTCTTTGCTTCAGTAGACTGTTTTTTATCCTGTTAAACCTACAATGGTTCTCACAGGGCCCGCATGGCATCAAGTCCACTCCTTAATTCTGCTCTTGTTTATGCTTATGAGGGCATTTGAGCTGTGTCCATCTTCATCAGGGCTTCATAGTACAAGTGCAACTGAACATTTTCATTAGTGGCACATTTAGCAGGTCTGTCTGTGTCTCTGGGCGGCCCACCCAAAAATCACTTGGTTTCCACTTTGGTAATTCTGACCGTTAGACTCCTTATTTTTATCTTTTCAGGCAAATTTTTAGCCACACACCTGTGTGAGCTGCTACAGTAACTGGAGGCTTTTCCGTCCACAACCGCCAAGTAACGTTTAGAAATGCACGTTAAACGTTTAAAAAACATTGGTAAATTGTAGCATCTACGAATAATCTGCATGTGAAGCTTTTCGTCTGTAGTTGTAGCTTCACAAAACAACAGCAAACTGAATGAGTGTCTGCATGAACAACATCACACCTCATTACCCTCAAGTAAATTCTGAGCCTGTAGTAAACACTGAGATATAATAAATTGGCCAACATGATGCACTGCAGTTATTGAAATGGAATAAAAGTGGTGGTCAAAGTATTCCTGGAACAGCACCTTTGTTGTCAGAGCATCAATGTTCTAAAGTGAAATATTAAAAAAAACGTAGTAGCTTTAAGATACCACCCTGTCACAGGGAAAACATATGACTTGTTGAACAATTTCTTATCGAAAGACTCTACAGTTTACCAATGTCCTCTAAACACCCCACGTTGCAGGCTGCAGTGTGCTCAGGCAGGTGTGTGACCAAGAGCTACTTTGAAAGGAGTAAACTAGGGCGGTTGCCAGATTTGTCCAAGATAACTGATTTTTGGCAGCGCATTTAGGTGTGCTCCACTTTTCACGAGAAAACCGCACCAAAGTTAGAAAAGAACTACTTTCCACTACTGTGATTGGCACAGCAGCAGCTGGTTCCAGCGACACTAATACAGCTTAATGATCATCTTTCACTCGCACCAATGCAGCTGAAATTTTAACTCGCACACTCAAAAAAAGTCACAGATGCGACCATTTTGTCCTTGTACTGCTGGAAACAAACGTCAATACAACGTTAAACTGAAACAAAAGGGGTTTCTCTGCAGAAATCATTGCACATGCAGGTTTATTTATGTAGCATCATATCAAACACAACGTGTGTTTCAGGCAAAAGATGAAAAGAAACATAAAGGATTAAGTGTAAAATTCAATAAGCAAGTTTTAGCTATAGCATATAAAATAAGTAAAAGTGGTTTAAAAAAAAAAAAAGAAGAAGTATTGAACATCTAGTATTGAACAGTATTGTAGTCAGTGACTACATTTGGGACAGCTGTGGCTACAATTGTAGCTTACCACCACTGGAATGAATGTGTGTGAATGAATAATCAATAATGTATGCACTTTGAGTTACTCCCTGAGTCAGAAAAGCGCTGTATAAATCTAGTCAATATCTAAGGTACAAGTGGAGCTGGTTCCAGCATCATTTCTAAAAGACATTTAACCGGGTTTTGTCTGAATTCTGAGTGCCACGAGCTGATCAGTCCTTGCCAAGAGGCCTACCAGACTTGTGTGAAGCAAACAGATCTCTGAAAAGTTTTGGTCCAGACCACTGAGAGATACGTAGACCATAAGCAGAGCCTTCAATTCAATTCTATGCTTAACTGGACCTAAGAATCAGTTCTTTGTACTTGGTGTTTCTCAGTCTTGTAGCAGCACAACATTTCTGCTTTGCAAAGCAAAGGTCTCTGGCTAAAAATAGGCTGTCACATATATGGTGTTCTGTAAACTATTTTCCATGCTTGTAAATAATAGACCAAACACTATGATTAGCCGTGTGTGGACATGTAGTTTTACCATAATTACATTTAAATGGCAGCGAGAACATGGACATGAAATTATATTTAAAATGTCTGACTTATTGAACCCTGCTTGTCACTGTCTTAGTATTTGTAACGCTTGCATTAAAACTTCTCAGCTTCTCTGTACACATGTTTGGATGACTATAGCCATTGTGATGCTTGTCTGTTGTCAGCTTGTTTCCTTCTGTAGTTTTTGTGACTGTCATTTCAGTGTTAAAACCATAACAGAAATCTTTCCTTGTGTGCCTGCATGCGTGTCCAGGCGTGTGTTGGTCGTGGGTGTGGTTCTAGGTTTGCTGAGTTTGGTTATGATCTCCTTGCCACTGACTGAGACGGAGACAAGCAAACCTGTGGAGGGGATTGTCGACCCGAACCATAAAATGGTGAGAGTACAGAGAAGTAGAATGTTGTCATTGTTCACAAGACTAACTTGTTGACAATGCAGTAACAGGAAACTGCATAAATCAGAAAACACCACATAAACTCGCATTTCGATGTTGCTGCACACAAATGAGTCATTTCCTCTCAGCATGATCATAATGCCTTCATCCTCTGCCCGAGCAGTTTCCTATTTGAGGTACTGCTGGTACAGAGTTTGAGTGGTGTCACATGTTGTCATTGTTTATCCTTCTCAAATGATTAATTCTGATGTCTTGAGATGTTGCTTATATTATTATTTCCACATAATGTTCTTTCCTCATGACTCCATCTATTTTGTAAAGTGCACCAGTCCCTCCCACAACATGATGCTGCCACCCCCATACCTCAGAGTTGGGATGGTGTTCTCAGGCTTGCTCAAAGAGAAGCAGTAGTTTCATACTGTGCTCTGTTCCTCTGAGCTGACGACTGTTGATAGCTCTTTGTAATGCTCACATATATTGTAAAACCCCTAGTTAGTGTTTTTACATGCTGGACATCTGTTTGAAAGCTGGCTTAAGTCAACAGGACACCATGGATCAAATACCAAGTAGAGCACCATATTACTAATGAGCCGGTCTATATCTATATCTATAAACTATCTGTAAACTGAAATTCCCTTTAGATGTCAGATGTAGATAAGTTGAAATTTAACATGTCTGCTGCAGTCTAGCAGCTTCTGGAGTTTGTTTTCACTTTGTAATTATAATATCATTATAGTGAAACTTACATGTTTTTTCACCCTGTTTTACCTGCAGCTGGTGCATGAATATGTGCACAAAGTTCTGGAGGGTCCATGTCGTCCCAGCGGCGCCAGGCAGAGCTTGTTTACTCAACTCCCTGCTTCCAGTCATGTGGTCCAGCCCTTCCTGTGGAAGGACAAGCCGCTGCCTAAAGACCTTTCCCTGTATCCACCGCCATTTGGATTAAAAGGGCTCGAGAGCAAAGTAGAGAACCTGCTAAAGCTGGTGATTACAACTTCTTTCCATCTTTTATTCTGTTTTAAACTCAATTATATCTGATAATTATTCCGAGTATTATTTAATGGTATCTTGTACGTCTCTGGCCATGTGACAGATGCCAAAAAATACCAAAATGTCAACGTGTCATTCGAATAGCCTCAGCTTTGTTGAAAGCTGCCTGTGAGGCATATAGCAAGCAAATATAGAACAGAACAGTGGTACACAACAACGGCTAGAATCAAGCACAACTTCAGAAAGACTTGACACCTCAGTAACAACAGTGATTCTTAGAATTCATAAATGTAGGTTCAGTAACAGCAATTATTATCTGTTGAGTCAGAATAATGATACGCACTGATTCTTCCTCACAAATTCACTGCCTCTAGTCTGTAATAGGCGCCATGCTGTAGGTTAAGTCTGTTCTTGTTCTAAGTTATTCATAGTGTCATATTTTTGCTGAGACCTGCTGAGCAGATATTTTCCAACTACTTCTGGCTGATTGTAGATAACATATATGTGCATATTTTTTTCACCGAATCGCAGACAATATCAAGTTTCTCCATGAAGTTAGCATATTATTATGCTGGCTCTTATTGTGATAGCGCACTGGCAGATGCAGTGTTCACATTCACTGGGCAAAATAAGAAACCACTTCAGCTTACTTGTAAAACCAATGCTGATGTGACAGATACCAGAAATGTGATGATGGTGCTTATTGTGTTAGTGATTTTATTAGTGGCAATAAATGGTTGAACACAACAAGCAGATGCTTCTCTTGATAGTCAGAGGGTGATTGAAATTCTTCACTGAGGCGAGTCATCAAGCCACTGCAGAGGAAAGGGAGCAATAGTGATGTCATAAAAACAACATCAGTGAAACCCTAAGCAATGGAACACTGTGGAGAAAACATGATGGAAATTTGACATCTTTGTTTCATATAATAATTTAAAGGAAGGTTACGGTCATGTCACATACTGGTCGATGTTTTTGTGAACATGCGTTTAGTTACAGAATGGGCTGTAGCACAGTGTCGGTGATTATTGCTGAGGTGTGCCGAGAACAGTGGGCGGACATGGCACCGGATTTCTGGAGAGTTTGGACTTTTCGTTTTGGGAAACAAATTTTAGGCTGTACATGTATTCCTTCAGTGACCATGGCAGGATTGGGTAGATGACTAGATTTACATTGGACACGTGGAAATCATGTATTAGCCTTAAGATAAAGTTATATCCTGTGTTTTGTGTATGTTGTGATTTTCTCTGTTTTTCTTGCTCTCTGTTTCTCTGTTTGTTGCTTTTGCTTTTGTAGATGCAACATTTTCACCTCATCCAAGCATAAAAACTCTTTTAAGGATGAAACAGACGTAATGAAAGATCCTATATCAATATTCAACAGGCTGTGTAATGTCCCAATAAAAATACAGCGCTTTGCTCGCTTTTTAAAATGCATCCTGGCAATGGATATCTGGCCTGGATGAGGAGTTTGTGGGTTGTCCAGCTTCTCATGTTGTGTTTTGAGGAAAGGTTTGGCAAAGGTGTTGCAAAATCTTGGGGTCTGAAAAGCTGAGAAAAGAGTGACGCCTTTAACTGTGTTTACATTTACATACCCAAAAGGTTTAAATAATTGTAGATTTCATAACTCTAATGATTGTATCTCTGAATTTCCCTTTAAGTTTTCTGATGAACCACAACCAGAGACGACATCAGGTACATGTCAGCGCTGTTTGGTCATCGGAAATGGAGGCATTCTCAGAGGCCTGGAGCTGGGCTCCGAGTTTGACCGGTTTGACACCATTATCAGGTTAGAATCACAAATGTGGTGATAACATTGTTTATTAATCCTGTGTGCAGGTAATGATCCTTGTCACTATTACTTGTAGTAGTGATAGCACACTGAGCAAACAAAACCCCTCCTAACCAAACACTGCACAATGTGAAGCTCTGTTTGAGTTTCAGGTTTGACAAGAGTGTGATTTGCATTCAAAATGAATTAGTCAAGAGTGTTTGGTTGTGTGTTCCTGTCCTTCAGGTTAAACAGTGGCCCCCTGGGAGAGTTCAGTGTCGACGTTGGAAATCGAACCAGCATCAGGATGAGCTACCCAGAGGGCACACCGCTGCACTGGGTCGACACAGACCCACAAACTCTGTTTGTAGCTGTGGTGTATAAACGTGTAGACATCAACTGGATCTCTGCTATGATCAGCAAGCTCACTGTGGTGAGTAGTGCTGCTGTCTGTATTGATGCTTCGCTTTTAAAAAACTAGGCTTTATTAAAAGTACAATATAAGTCATTCAACTATGATGCAGGTTCATCAGAATAAGATTACGGAAAAACTGAGCAAGACAGCACTTGTTGTATACAGGACGCTTGTTGGTCTCAGGGGTGTTTTTTTGCAGCATTTGGATCCAATAACAAATATACAACATTAAAACCACTGACAGGTGAAGTGAATAACATTGTTTGTTACAATGCAGTGCTTTGCTGGCAAACTTTGGGTCCTAGCATCTATGTGGATGTTACTTTGTCATGCAGCAGCCACCCACACGTGGCTGCAGAACAAGCACGCCCCTCACTACCACCACTGTCCAAAGGCAGCACTGTCATACAGACACGTTTGTATTGATTTTGAGCAGCAAGCACCTGCAATTATTGGCTGGACCTTCTTTCATGAAACATGGATCAGCACCTGTTTTACAACAGTTGTGACACCAAAAAGTAAGATCATAAACTTCTGAGATTGTTATGTAAAATAGCAACAGGTGGGGTGAAGTGTTTACTTCACCGAACCAAGTACTTGCTCATGTATTTCCAGGTGATAAATAGTCAAACAAGAAGCAAAACTATTGTGTCATCTGTTAGCTGAGAGGAATTACTTATGAAAAAGTAAAGATTAACTTGATCAGTTTAATAAAGTAGTGATATTGAAGAATCTTAATTTTTCAAATCTAATTCATCCATCCATTATCTGTACACCACTCAATCCTCACTAGGGTCGTGGGAGGGCTGGAGTCTATCCCAGCTGACTCAGGGTGAAGGCAGGGGACACCTGGACAGGTCACCAGTCTATCACAGGGCTACACTTAGAGACAGACAACCAAGCACACTCACATTCACATCTACGGACAATTTAGAATCACCAATTAACCTCAACATGTTTTTGGACCTTGTGGGAGGAAGCCGGAGAACCCAGAGAGAACCCACGCTGCACGGGGAGAACATGCAAACTCCACGCAGAAAGATCCCGGGTGTCCTCACTGGGACGCGAACCAGTGACCGTCGTGCTGCGAGGCAACAATGCTAACCACCGAGTCACCTTGCAGCCCAAAAAATCTGATCTAAATTTGAAAAAATGCAAAACAAAATTTAGAAAAACTATTGATCCAAATCGATTAGCAGACACACCAATGAGCCACAACATTAAAACCACTGGAAGGTCAAGTGAGTAACACTAGTATTAGAAGTATCAGTAGTTTTATACTCTTCTCTTGTTCCCGATCCCCATGACAGCTACAGTTGTTCCTGCTACACTTACAGAGCTGTTCAGGAACATTGACTGAGCGTCCACTGAGGCCCCCAAACCCATAGAACCCAAAGGATCCACTAGCAACGTCCCAGTTCCAGACACCTCCAGAGCTCCCATGTTGATGTTCATGGGTCCAGTGGGTCTGAGCTGTTTTGCAGGCACAAGGGGGAACTACACAATATTCTCCAGGGGGTTTTCATGTTGTGACTGACCAGTGTGTTTCACGTACCATATTTCCTAGTAACTGCTTGCTGTTTGCATTTGGACAAAGTTCACCTTCACACAGACTCAGGGAGATAGTTCAGACAGTGAAAGAAGACCTGTAAGCGGATGTGGTTACCCAGTGTTCAGTCAGACCGATACATCGAGCATGTAACCAGAATGATAATCACAATGCTTCTAATCAGATCGTGCTTGTTTATCACAATTATTCGTTGATTTTAGGATTGTTTTTTTTTTTTTCATTTTACTGAGTACGTTAGTTGTGTGGCACAGACACAAGTCTCATGCACTCTTTCATATGATCTGTTATTGCTTAACATCAGCTGGCCTAAATCCAGAATTGGATCCATCTCAAGGAACTAGCCCTTCATTTTTTGCTCCAGTAGTTAGATTTTTGTTTTGCATGTCTGCTCTTAGTTGTGTATCGCTCTTCTATTCCAGACTGCAGCTGCAGTATTCAGGAAATTTTTGCACGACCTGCTGCTGCAGGAGTGTGTGCACAGCGGCATGACAGCTCCCCAAAAGTAGAGCTGAAATACCTCAATCGCCCCCTGGTGACAGGCTGTTGGTTGAGGAAGTGTTGATTTGAAATACAGCAACGTTTTCTTTGAGAAGAGCTTTTTAAACATCAATATTTTGCTCATTTAATCGTGGGAAGCCAAAATTGTGAGTAGTATTTGAATGTCGTGCAGTTCTTCTCTCCACCTCGATTCGGTTCGCCCTCATTGCATCAGAGCCTTTAGCTCATATACGTCTAGTCCTCTGGGTTAGTTTGTGGTGTGACTCGGTCTCTGATGCACCCCCATGCTGAGGAGCTACATGAAGCTCCTGAATTTACAATCACTCTGCCTCCACGTTGACCTGTGCCTCCTGCCTTTACAAATACACGTCTGGGACCACTGCTGAAAACACTTACGTTGTGCTTGTGTTTCAAATTGATCACAGACAGATTCCTGTAATCTCATCAGTTTGGATTTGTCTTGAGAGTTGGTAATCCCTCTTGCCACACATCTGCTTAAAGCATCTCACAGACCTACAAAAAGTACAGAATCTTAAATGTTTTCTCTTCTGTTCATTTCTACATCCTCAAACTTTCTGATTATTTCCAGGTTTGCATGAGAGCATGACAGAGTTTGGATGTAGTCTCAGATTTTTGGACCTTGCTGCAGCCATCATGTGAGCCAGAGTCATAAACTGATCTGGGCTCTTGACAAAGAACTGTTGTATTAACAAGGCCATGCTTTGTGTTGCAGTCTCTGTGGGACTGGATCTTCTTCTGGCAGAAGGTTCCGGATCAAATCCCTCTTGAGCCCTCCAGGTTCAGACTTCTAAACCCGCATGTCATCAGGCAGACTGCCTTGGACCTCCTGAAGTACCCTCCACCCACACCACGCCTGTGGGGCTGGGACCAGGTAATACCACACTGAAACGCTTTGTTTATGGTTAAAGTTTATTTTTTATTTAAAGTTGTATTATAGGTAGGTTAGTGTTCTCTTTTAGTCTGCAAAGAAGAAAGCACAGTATCTACTTTCCACTGGGACAAATGAATTTTCTACCACATGTACTGAACAAAATCAGTCTGTCGTGTGTAAGCGGCTCCCCCTTGTGTTAGGTTTTGGATATTGCACAATCCTGACAACATTCAAATCAACGTGTCCGTTTATATACAAATTATAGACTCGTGATAATAGTGGTACTAACTTTACACTTCATGTGTTCATATAGGAAATGTAAAGACAGTGGAGCTCTTTTAGGTGTGAGCCAGGACACGGTGCGTCACTCATACAGAATATTAATACTTTTGATTTAGCTGTTCAGTGATAGCTAGACTCCTCTCCTCTGTGGTTCCGCGCTGGTGGAACGAGTTACCAAACTCTGTTCAATCTGCTGATTCCCTCTCAGCCTTTAAGAAAAGACTAAAGACCAACTCTTCACTGAACACCTTTGCGCTTGACAGCCCGACAACAAAAACAAAAATCCTATTACCTCTCACACAGCCTGCTACTGGCATCAGTGCCCCATCACACCTGGATTTGTTCTGTGGCAAGAACATGTATTTTTGCAGCATTTCACTACTGAGCCTCAGTACAGGAATATGTCGTTTTATTTACGTAATGTTTCCTTTGTGCTATCGAGCACATTGTTTTTATTTTCAAAAAATCAGTGACGCTGTTATGGTGTTAAAAAGCATGTTGATTAATTATCTATTTAGGTAACATAAAAATGTCAAACTAAAACTGTACTAACAATATACACACAATCAATTTACTTAGAAAATACAGGGCTGTAATAAAGCAAAAAAATAATAAGAATATTACAGATGTTTTGTGTTGGAGCACGACGAGAGTCAAGCATGTAAAACAATAAGAGCTCATAAAGAGTGATGGTAATGGCGTTGTTCTCCTCTGTGTGTGCAGAACGTGCCTACCCTTGGTGTCTCCGCACTGAACTTAGCCAGTCTGCTGTGCGACGAGGTCAGCCTGGCAGGGTTCGGCTACAACCTCTCCCAGCAGGGGGCGCCACTACACTACTACGACCACCTGCCCATGAGCGCCATGCTGCAGCAGAAGATGCACAACGTGGACAAAGAGACTCAACTGCTGCAAAGCCTCGTCAAAGCGGGAACCATCACTGACCTGACGGGGGGGATCCACTGCTCCTTCTGCAAGAGCTGACCTCCCAGGCTGTTTCCTGCAAAGCACTGACTTGGTTTTTTTGTGTGTATTAAGAGCAGAATACACGTAAAGCAGGAAAAATACTTGGACCAGAGGACTCACAAACACTCAGTAGAAAGGGTTAAAACCAGTGAGGCGCACAACGGCTGAAAGGAACCTAGTCGTATATCTACTATTTGTCACAAAGTGCTTCTTGGAGGAAATAAGGACGTAGAAATACTCAGCTTTACATGTCTTTCAGTACTTAAATATTCTTTTGCTTTCAAGTTTCATTCATTAACCCTCAGACTTGACCAACCAGTTATTAGGTTTCTTTACAAACACACATGGAAATGCAGAATTATCATCTCCAGTGATGTCGATCCATATCAGCAGGTATGTATTAGTCCAGGTGTTGAATATATCACAAGGGTTTGAAAAGTTTAAACCCCAACCAGCAGCTCCTGTTGATAGTCAAACACACACACAGCTTTAATTGGTCATATTGGTTGTCTATCGTGGTAGTTCTACTGGAACTACGAGTTGAACCTGGAGTGTGAGAATATTACTACTGAGCAGACTGCACTGAGCCAAACCGTTTCTCCGACTGATGTTTTCAATCTGAATGACCAACGATCAGTTAGTAAGTTAAATGTGTTACAGGAGATCTTCAGTAAGTATGTTATTTATTTATGTGGAACAACTTGGATCTGTATTTAAAGTCACATAGGATGTAAAAAATACTTTAAAAAATGTATTAATCTGCACAAGATGTCCACGATGCTCTCACAGACACGTTTGAAGCAGGCTTCAAATAGTTGAGGAAAACAAGTTTCTTCCAGTTTCATTTGTTTTGTTTGTTGAATATTGTGGCTGACGATAGTATTCATCAGCACATCCAGATCATTCCGTGTTAAATCTCATCTGATGTGCCAGATGTGCGTCGCCTAAAGCTTAGCAGGGATTCTCTCATGATTGTGATTTCGCTAATCGTGACTGAATCCAGCTGCCTTGCAATGTAATTGTCAATTAGCAACACAGTTTTGCAGATTCTTTTGTTGCCGTCTGTTGTTTTGTTGTTGTTTTTTTTTACAGCATTTTTTGTGCCACTTTAGTTTTTTTGTTGTTGTTTTTTTGCAGAATGGCTTCTCCATGAATGTTATTTATTACTTTTTGTATTGTTTCTAGATCATTCATATTATTGTCATTGTAATACAGTTAATCGCACATCACGCACACACACTTGTTAAAACATTCATGTATTTGGGCTCCATTTCTCAAGCCGGAGCTCCTCATGAGAGGAGAAATGACTCTTATGTTCTGTTTTTATCAAAGTGTTTCATAGCCAACACAGCTGATAGCAAGACAAGATGTAAAAGGTTATTAATGGTCATTTATCCAGTTCAGATGTGCATTTGACAGCATTCTCCGAGGAGTTTAAGGACAGTTGGTCCTGATTAAATGTGTACATGTGACCTCCAGGAGATTAATATCATCTCTGCATGAAATAAAAAAACATGAAAGTTGTCTGCTTTTATCTTGATTTATTGTTCTTCATTTATTGTAATGTTCTGTTTATTAAAATGTCCACACGATGCAGGTGAATACATGAACACACACTGAGTAAGCGAGGGGTTAATTTGCATGTAAATTCATCTTCATATTTTAGGGAGATAAGTCAGTATGTCAGTAGTTAAGGCAGGGGTGTCCAATCCTGGTCCTCGAGAGCCACAATCCTGCATGTTATAGATGTTTCCCTCTTCCAACACACCTGATTCAAATGATCAGCTCATCATCAAGCTCTGCAGAAGCCTGATAAGCCTCCAATTCATAGTCACTGGCGTCCACTACAGAGCACATCAGTGTGTATCAGTCACTCTGGCACATCTAGCACCCTTCATACAGCTTAGTCATGTTCACAGAGGAGTGATAGACTGATAAAAGAGAAAAAAAGAAGTGAACTAAAGCTAGATTATAAAGAAATGGTGTAGAAAAGCTGCATCATTAAGCCTGAGAATCAGTGCTACAGAGTGTAAGTGGTGCACTGCTGGTTAAATACGACCTTTCACCTGTTTCTCAACGGCTGCAAATTAAAGACTGACAGCATGTCTGAGAAACAGAAGGACAGTTCATACGCTGAACAACCAAACCAACTGGACTCTGATGAGGCTGGTTAGACCTCAAAGTTCTACAGTTTTTGCACTAAAACATAAAACATATTGTAAGTAAGCATACAGCTGTCCTCAGATGTGTTCATCCCCTTCCATTAAAGAAAAGGCAAAATTCACAATATTCACTCAAATAACTAGAAACTGAAAAAAGTAGTATTAAATAAAAATTTGCTAAATTATAATTTAGTGAAATAAGACATTGATTTTGAACTGTGGTTGAAAAGAAGAATTTAAAAAAACAAAAAAACTGTCCCGGACACATTAGAGCACTTTGCTGATGAGCAGTGAAATCACAGAATTTACAGAAAACACCTGATGGCAGTGATTGGCTCAAAGGGTTGTTCAACTAGATATTAGTTTATGGGTCCCATCATGGTTGTTTGCTTGTTTTTTGTTTGTTTTTAAATATATATATATTTCTGTTGAACCACAATTCAAAAGCAACGTCATGATTTTCATTACATTTTTATTTGTTATTACTTTTTTCAGTTTCTAGTGATTTGAGTGCTAAACTATCCAACAGTTTAAAGTGCTCCTCTACATTTCAGAGGGAAATATTACACTTCGGTCTCCACTACATTTATCTGTGCTTCAGACTTCACACAATAGACAATATAACATGCTTTTAAAATAAAAGACACAGTTAAATATCAAACCAGGGGCTTACAAACTTCTTGGTATTTGACAATTTACAAAAAGCAGTGTGTAGTGACATTTTAAACATCTATGAATTGTTAACAGCTTCACCAATCAGTGTTTTTTCCCCGCTGAGCTTCTCACGTGGCTTCATGTCGATGCACGTTCAAATCAGAAGTTTAGAGGAAAAAGTGGAAACAAATTTGTTTATCTGAGCTTTGTTTTTTTTCTTTCTTTTTTCCTCTCCTATTATTTGTAGCTCTTAGATGTATTTGCTGTCTCTGTCTATAAAACTAAAGTAGTTCAAACCAGCTCCACCTGCAGCAGCTACAACAGCACCATGCTGCTGACACTCAGATGCATCACTATTAAAATCTAATAATGCCAGATATGATTTTATATTTATATATATATATGTGTGTGTGTGTGTGTGTGTGTATTTCTCTGTTTTTTGTCAATTGCAAATTAATGGGTAATAATCAAACTACAACAACAACAATGCTAATGCAATGCTAATGCTAAACTGAGGTAAGACCATTGCATTTAGTCAACAAATCCCTAAACAGTATTGAAGTCATTTTGGTGCTCTAAGAAAATGTAAAAGAAATGATTATTTTATGTAATATTTGCACTTTACTGCTAACATGAGAGTCAAGTTGGGAGAAATCCATTAGTTTGAACAAAAAATAAACTTTTTCTGCAATATGTCAACATGTCAAAATAGACTTTAGCCCCCATGCAAATGCTAGATTTCTGACAAATTAGGTACATTATCATGTACAAGAGAAACCTAATAGCTAACCAGCAGTAATTTTTTTAAATTATTGTTATCCATTATTTATCGGGCTAACTAGCTGACTTTATGTTAAGCTAATAAAGTTAAAGCTAAAGCTAAACCTAGCTGGAGTTTTTCACTAGTATCGATCAAGCATCTGTTAATTATTTTTGTTGTGAATTTAAATATCAATGATGATACATTTTAAATTTTTGCCTTGTAGCCCCCCTCAATGGCAATAATCAAACTATTAAAAAAAATCAAAAATAATTTCTAAATGTGTTATCTAATAATAATGTTATAATTGTCCTGTAAATTTAAGCCCACTTCATGTGCACCTTGATGTTCAAAAGCATATATTGTAAGAGAAAACTTGCACTGTTTGTTAAGGGAGGGGGGGTTGTACTGTTCCCTCCTTGTGGCCCCCTCATGAGAGCTCTCTGGAGCCGCCCCTGCCTTTTATCCCTCGGAAGTTGCATTAACTTGACGCCAACTGCTGGTGCTGCTGATCCGGAGAGAGAAGCCGGGAGAGCCGCTGCTGACAGGTGCGAACAACCGTTAGTCTCACTGCTGCTTTGTTTGTTAATTGAACCGAATCCTTGTTTGTGTGCTACTTTTATTTGACACTATACGTTACTTAAAATATAATTCTAAATGTTTTAAAAAGTGTGGAAAGAGAGGTCAGACCGAACTCCATTCACATATCTGACATTTTATCGACCACAGTGTAAAAACACACAACTTAGTGACAGAATATCGACCGACATTTTGCAGCTTCTTTCTTTTACGCACTTTTTATTTTTTTTTATTTTTTTTTAAGAAACGAAACGGTAAGATTGTTTAATATTTACTTACTTACTTTACTTTTAAATGCTTCCTAAATAGCTTTCAATTTGAAATTTAGTTCGTTTTTTTAGTATTTCAGTGGGTTTCCAGCTAATTTTAGTGTAAAGTTCTACTAACTTAACGGTTACAGAACGTTCCCTGGAGGTTCCCTGAATGTTTTTTGTGTGTCCTGGGCGATTATTTGTACTTGGTGCTGGTTAAAATTTGTCATAAGCGGGTGAACTTTATGGAATTCGGTATGTTTTTGTTTTGTTGTTGTTTTTTGTCGGGAAGTGAAAGTGAACCTTTTACAGTCACTTTCCATTTTGACCTTTAAATTACAGTCAGAGAGTTAAATGGAGAAAAAGAAAAAAACGCAGTAAACACCGGTAGGAGAAGATAACGTTCAGTTTATGTTAAATCTTATGTTTTGATACTGTTTGTGTGGGATTTGTTAACTGTAAACGTTGGATGTAATGATTAATTATCCGTAGCGGGGAGGTGAGGTGCTGCCACATGTGGCTCTGGTGGGATCAGCGCAGGTTTCGAGGTGAAAGGTGACTCGGCTCTGATTGGCTGACAGCCATGAACCCACGCTGCTGTCATTGGTTGTTCAGCCTGAACCCCCCTCCCCTCCCCTCCTCCATGGTTCGGATACAGACCGTACAGCGCTGCGCCCCCCCGCCCCCCCTCCGGCTCCACCTCCTGCCTGCATGGCGGTGCTTGTTGCTTGTTGTGCTGCACGGGGCGCTGGGGCTCGATAAGCCGGGTGGAGCACAGGCTGCTGCACTCATTATGTGGTGGACCAGCTGCAGCCACAGGCACGCAGAAAATGTCACAATGCAACAGTAAACAAACGTTGATGCAGTATTTAACCCTCTGCACTTTTTAATCCAACAATAGATTTAGTAATTTCACATCTTTAAGCAGTGGTGGAATAATTTTTAATGCTTTGAGGAAATCAAAAAGAAATGGTATTATGTCTGACAGTACAAAAACAGCTCCTGTGTTTTGTTTTTTTTTTTTTGTTTGTTTTGTTTTGTTTTTTTGTTGTTGTAAGGAAATAATTAAACTTTTAGCATTAGAGTCATGTGCTATCCATTAGTTTGACTAATGACTTTTGAGGAACGATTACCCCTCAGTTATTTTCAAAAGTTTTGACTTGCAAATGTTAGACTTTTGGTAAACAGTAACATAACAGCTATCCAGCTAAAAAGTATTATTATCATCTGAAAGACAAACTATCTGACTTGAGATCAAGCTAATCATGATGTGATATATTAGTTTGGAACATTCCTGCTGATTTGACGTTATTTTTGTCTTGTGAATTTAATTATAATATTTATTCTGAGTCGTTGATTAATTGACAATAATCAACCAGTTGAAAAATAAAAAATAAAAATGTGCGATCTGGCATTCGTGATGCACTTTAAGTCAGAGCAACATCAAAATTTGAGCTATAGGTAAAGATTAAGTCAATTTTACGCATAAGTAACAATTTGTATTGACATATTTAGTTTTCTCATGAGAGAGCTGTGGTCTGGTATGAGTTGATTAGCCTCTAAATTTGTTCACTTCAGCACAGTTCTTGTAGACAGCGTATTGACATTTTAAACTATCTGTATTTGAAAGAGAATAGACATTGCTCTTAAAGGGGGTCTCTCTCCCTGGATACCTGTTGTTCATATCACTGAAATAAAAAGTCCAGGGACATTAAAAAATACTACAGTGGAAGTAAAATATGTGCTTTAAAATCCTGTGTGATTAAATTTACAGGAACATTGTGAGGAAAATTCTACTTTCAGCTGCTCATTTTTCAGTTGATTCATATGTTTTAATACTTTATTATTTTAGTAAGTTTTAATATTTCATTGCTAATTAAGTTTCATGTTTGTGTGCTGACATTATTGTCTTACTCGGCTATATTGTACATGAGGCCTTAATTCCTCAATGCAGTCAGTTAAGTACAGCTTCAATGCAAAGTACATTTAAAAACATCTAAAGCAAAGTGTTGGTGTCAGTAGCTGATATATGAAAATCCCTCTCCGGTCATGGGCTTAACCCGTAGCAAATCCTCTCTTTGCATTAAAGTTACATGTTGATAAGTATTTTCCATAAACAAAATGTCTTCCTTCCCTACAGTGTCTTAAATGTAGCTCTGCCCCTGTGCTTCATCTACATTGTGCAGATCTACGTCCTCCCCTCATCTCATTTCACTAACTGTACATCCTCTCTACCAACCACATACGATTTCTTTTTGCTCTTAAACACTCACTAAGTTCATCCAGCATGCATTCAATTGCGACATGCTGTTTCGTCATAATGATGTACGTTGAACTTTGACCGTCGCAGTCTGCAGCGCAAATTGAGCTGTCTGTGTCGAGCTTGTTTACACTTGCATGCAACACCATGAAGTGTGTGATGTAACTGCACAGAAGGTTGTGGGTCACAAGGGTCACAAAAGCATGCCGGTTCACATGTTGCAAAACCCTCCCAGATGTAACAGGACATCTTGGTATTTTTTGGCACACTGCTAAATCTTTTCCTTGCATACTATATAGTATGATAGTATGGATATTGGAGCGCACTACTCTCCTCATGTCAACAGAGATGCAAGTAGAGGAGGCAAGGAGGAGATGCATGTATAGAGGAGTCAGGCAACATGACATGACAGGCGAAATGAGAAAGCCTTATCTCTTCGCTGTTTTTTTATGGCAATGTTAATTATGTATGACGTTGGCCACAGCTGTTATCACCTGTCCATTGTTTTTTTTTAATAACCTGCCACTGCATTATAGGGCCTCTGTCAGGTCAGCGGAACAGTGTTCATGATAACCTACAGTGTATATTTACTTATAATTTAATTCACAACATGGCAGAATGTGAAGAGAATGAATGGATGTAATACATTTTTATTCATTTATTTATTTGTTATGGCCTTTTTGCCTTTATTAGATAGGACAGTATTAAACTCATCTAGTGGCTGCTTTTGAAGGGACTCTGGACATGTCTGTGAATCCCATCGACGGACAAACAGTGTGTGTTCAAAAAGACACTGATTCATTGAATTACCAATGCGTCACACAGTGGAAGAGCAGTGGAGGCCATTGTTTTTCTCACCAATTCAGATGACACTTCTTTTGATTTTACTTTTATTTTTATATGAATCTATGATTTCAGATCCATTATTCCACATCGACAGGTTATTGTTTTTGTGTATTTGCATATATGTGTATTTGTATGCAGGGTACGCTATGTACTGTATGTGTGAGAGGGAGACGTTTGTGTTTTTAGTATTATTTATATGAAAAGAGGACTTCCTGCCACAGTTTGACAATAGGAAACTAAACACAGCTCACTCCATGCTGTGTTGTTACCTTAGTATTTTTTTTTGGACGCTACATCGGAGGCTATAACCCCTGTGCATGCGTTGCCAGCTCAACCAGGTGAGCTAAAGCAGCCATGTGCAATGTAAAGTGTAAAAGAGTTGTTTTTGTCATTCATTTGACCAAAATTTTACTTGATGCTATCGTGCAGAATTTAACAAAACTACATAAAAATGAAATTCTAACACCACGAGGCTCTTACCATAATAACGTTCTACTACATTATAGCCCTTTCCAAACAAGTTCAAACAGTGCTTATTGAGCTTATTAGCATTTTTGCAAACTGTCAGGGTTTTTTTTTTTTTTTTGGAGCATCAGTCCAGCACTGGTTTGCAATTTATGTCAACCAGCAATGACTAGTTTGCCAGAAGAAGCAACCGAATAGACTGCAGCAATAAGCGCTGAGTGACTTTCCTCTGCTATGTAGTTGCCTCCTTTGTTGTTGATAAAAGAGGAAGTTCAAAGTTCTTTATTGGCGTTAACATACCAAGACACAGTTATGCCAATGAAGTCCTGAGTAAATATTGACCTGAGCTTAAAGTTTGTTCAAAACATACTGACAGATTCAAAGACATGAAACACAAAAGAAAAGCGCAAAGTGCTTCATGTGAGATCACACGCTTCTCCCCAAACTGTTTCTGCTCACGTGCACACATTTTGTTAAACGATAACATTCAAGATAAATGTTCAGCTAATCAAACTGAAGCAACGTTTCTGAGACACGTTTGAGCCCCTAAAGGTTTGGGGAGCCGGGGTTGTTTCCTTTAATCCAACCTTGCATAAGTGCAACAGACAATTGTAATCAATGTTTTTCTCTCTGTCTGTCTGTCTGTCTGTCTGTCTGTCTGTCTGTCTGTCTGTCACTCTCTCTCTCCCTCAGCTGACTCTGTTTTAATGGGACTCTATCAGTGGCTGCATTTAGATCCACATCTGATTACCTACATGCCCAAACTTATTCAGTTGTTCTTGGCCAGTCCAACAAATGTATTCAGCTAGAACAAGTTATCAAGTGAGAGGTTTGTTATCTGACAGAAATGGAATCTGCAGGGTTTTTTTTTATAATCCATTGAGTGTTTATGGGATAACGTCAGTCTTTAAACATCATCTCATACCAGCTGCTTAGTTGTGAGGATTTGCTGCTTTTTTTTCTGTGACAATAAATTGAAAATCTCTGCATTTCTGACTACCAGTCAGCCAAGATATTTGAATGCGCTACCACAGGATTTAATAAAATGGCAATGGAGATTTTCCATTAACTGATGACACGTAGTTAATGAATGACCTCTCGTAAAAGACTACGAGTAAAACAACAGCAGACTCCACAACTCAGCGAGTCAACGGGTCGACTTGACTATTCTATTCTGCAGTTTTTTCCTTTGATCGCCTGTTATCTCGCCCGGTCTAATCACCTCAGCTGACCACACAGGGGCCAGAGGTCACTGAGGCAAAGGTGAGGACACCGACCACCTGCTTGAACCTGCTGGCTTTAACCAGCATTCGGTTGGAAAAGCTGCCATTCATTTCTGTTGTGCTGCAAGACATAAAACAGAGGCGTGATCAGACAAACAGGGTGTGTTGATGCACGCTGCATTTTTGTGGTTTTAACGACGTTGCGTATTTGGTTATATGCAGGTAGGCGAATCCCCAAATCGTATCACCCTCAGCCTCCACTATCTCACTAGTGCGGGCTAAGTTCATTGATAGTTTGCATGAAGTGTTTGAGTCGATCACACCAACCGTCTTGCTGCAACCGGCCAATCAGAGCGCTTCCTGGAGCCAGCCTGACCTTTGATTGGTAGATTAGCAGAGGTTATACATCAGCTTGTAACAGAATCTGCAGGAGTGTATGAGTGCATCCTCCTCGTGAGGGCAGAGCGTGCGGCGGTTGCTGTCGCTGCATTCCTGGTTCGCTGTCATTGGAGCTGAAAATAGAAAGCCGCCGTCTCACCTGGCTGCTTTCTGTTACAGGTTAGTGCGAAAGAAATCCTGAGATACACAAACAGGAGTAGTGAAATAGCTCTGCAGTGTTGCTTATAGAAAAATCCAGACGCTGTCATTACTCTGTCATCTCTCTGTGTGCAGTCGGTCTACAGGCGATGTCTTGTACAGGTTTTTCGAGTTTAAGAGGTTGGCATCGTGCAAATGTCATGCAATGTGTTGAATCCTGTGCCAGGCAGTAAATGCAGCTCTTGTCAGTTGTTGTTGTTGTTGTTTTCCACTTTTAAAAGCTAATTGCAAACAGGCGCTCTGTATTCAAAGGATTAGAAACTAGAAGGGAGAATTTTAAGCTCACTTTCTGTCACAAAATCTCAAAATGAAAGAACTTGAAGAACTTAAAGTGTGAAAAAGTTTAATTCATTTGCCAAGTTTGGCTGCTACAGCCTGAGTTGGTCTAATATGGCCAATCATGAGTTTTGCTTTGTAGCTTTAAAACAGGCATTTCTCAGTTAATGTATTGATGTGATTCACTATTGATGCTACTATCCTATAATTGCTGCAGTGACGACAAGTCTTCTGAAAGTTTTGAAGATTTTACCACTTCCACTTTTACATTAGATCTTGTGTAACCATTTAACAAACACCAAAATAATCTGTGCGTAAAGTTTTTGCAAATCAAAGTGATTTGTCCAGTAGGGCTGGACCCGAATAGCCAACTATTTGTTCGCTGTGCTGGAATCGGGATATCAATTCTGATCTCCAAATACCACCGAATATATCTTAAAAGTGAAATTTGTTAGTGACATAAACCTACAAGAGGGACAAAACAAGAGTTTCAGGCATTAATGTTGGTATGTCTAACTCAATTTCAACCACTTAGTGATATTCAGAGATTTTATTAGGGGTTGTATAGCTGGTTTTGACTGTGATATTTACAAAGCCACCAGATCATTTTTAGAGAGAAAACATCCTTTTTAGTGAAGCTGTTAAAAACTCAGACACCTGACGTGTCTTCGGCTACACATTGGTTTTGCAGAATCCCATACCTTTGGAAATCAGGTTTCATCTTTAACAATATGTCATATTTCAAAAGCTTGTGTCCAGTCATCCTTATTCGTCTTCATGCTCCAAGTCTGATCTGTTTTCCAATAGACAACAAATATTTTTACTTTTGTGAAATTCTCTGTGAAATCAAAATCACCTGTCCGACCTGGTCTCGATGCGATCAGAGTTGTCCCTCCTGTGGTTCTGTTAAATGGGTCTAAGGTCTCCATCCTCAGGGTTCACGCCGAGGTAGACCTGTCTCCGTGTTCTCACCTGCAGACGTCAGACCCTGGTTCTAATCTGTTTATTCTTAAGCAGTGCTTCTAGTCTGCCACCTTATCTGTGTGTTAGCTGTGACACTGAGAACATTTTCTCCACCCTGTAAACACAAACACATGAGCTGGGATCGTTGTACGCGACACCTGTGCAACTTGTCCTGAGAGAATCTGTTAAATACATGATATGTGACCTGATTATAGAGCAACATGAACCACAGCTGAACAGGTTCACCTGCTATTCTACAGTTGAAGCAGCGGTACATGGAAGGGCTTTTCCCGCCTCCAAATGGGCCTTTGGGTGATGCACACAACAGTAAATACAATCGTTCCACATACAGTAAAAGCAGGAGGTCTTTGTTATACTGTTTGTCAGGAATTGATGGATTTACCATTTGATGAACAAAAATGTCTAACTGGCCAAGGACACACGAGGTCAAATTCCTTCATTGACATATCTATAGAAAATACAGCTGTCAGCTAGCAGAGTGGAGCAGCAGAAGTGTGTTGGGCCCATAACCCAGAGGTCGATGGATCAATCGTCTGCTAGTTGCTTTGGGGTAGTGGTGGTTAACCAGAGTGGTTAGGCTTTGGACTAGTGATCAGAAGGGAAGTGGAGC